CCGGCCGACGAAAGTGGGATTTGCTTAATTTGCAAGAGGAGACACATATCTAACGAAAGTTGCGTGAATTTCCACTCCCAGATCTCGCTCAGGCTCGCAATCGATTCTCTCAGAGACCACGCAGACCATCGCGCTTACCGAGATATGTGTATTAGTCAACTAAGACAACTGACTGGATCATGAAGTTTCTGATGCCGAAGAAGCTCAATGGCAAACCGAGGTCTATTGAACACGCAGTCTTCGCGTATTGCATTTCCATCGGATTGCCTGTAGATAGATCAGATCATGCAGTGCTTGCTTTAGGATTGCCTGAGGAAAGTACCTTGCTATTGTTGCTATTGGCTACACGCCTTTCTTGCCTTAGCACGATACAGACAGACAGGTAGTCGATGAATTCACATGAAATTAACAAAAAATAAATAAAAATAATTGCCCTCATATTTGATTTACAACTGACTACCTAGGTAGGTATGTAAGACATTTCCAAGGTTTTTATCTGTCGCCCAACATCTAGTAGCATACAGGCCGTTTGTCACGTGGGAAACACAAGACATTGCTGCAGGTAACCGAAGAATGCATCTAACCCTATTTGAGGTTTCTCAGCAAACGGTTGTGATAGTGCTGTGTGTACCTATGTGTGCGTAGGGCGTGCGTAGGTGCGGTGTGCAATGCTAGCTTGCCCAACTGGAAGAAATGCCTAGCAGCCCTGGAGCCTTAGCTCGCTGCTTAAAAGAGTGTGCTCCTTTCTCTTCCTGGTGATCCCATCCGTGCCTTTTCTAATGATCGCTTAGTCGGTGGTATCGCCAGGGGCCATATTAATCTAAACAGCCTTCCCGTCTTAAATCCCGTCTTGGTATTACTCTCCCGAAGTCGCTGACCCGGTTCACATGCCGGTATAAATAAAACGGCTCGTAGCCCCCTTTCCCTTCCGAATTCTGATCTGCCCCGTTTGCTGTTAGGCTACCTTCCTTTGATACTCCTCTCATCACCTAACCTTGGAAGTTTATGCGGTAGTACTTCCTTTATCGAAACTACCAGCTGCTTTTTTTGCCATCTTATTCCTTTACCTTCAAAATGGAATCTGAAAACTTAACTTCTTCTTCCTCTCCCTCTTCTACTTCACCCACTTCCCACCACTCACCTACTACTTCCGCAGCAGCACCCGCAGCAAAGTCTCTCTCTGACTTGTCTTACACTACTACCGGTGCCTCTCCTTCACTTTCTTCCTCCCGCAACACATCACCTCATTCTATCACTATCACTCATTCTTCCTCTCCATCGCAGCAATCAGCACTGGTAGATATTACATCAACGGTCGATCTGCATAGCAATCCTAACTTGTCTTCGGTTCCCAAGCAAGACTTTAAAATGGATCGCAATCCTTTCCAATCCATCAACGAACGCCGCAACAAGCTCTCCGCGGATCACACCAACGCCAACGGCGGCACCCAGCAGCAGCAGCCCTCTCCCTCGCAGGCACACTTCCCGTCCCAAGCTCTGCGACCTAACATGCAGCAGCTCGTCACTCCCTCGCGAGGCCTCGCCTCTTCTAACTGGCGTTCGCAGGGCACCGGCGCCGCCGCCGACGAACAGTCCTACGGCACGACGTCCTCTCGCGGCAGCAGCGGAGAGTACTCAGCTTCGTTCGAAGCCGCCATCGCCAACAACATGGCCGCCCCCCTCCCCCACCCCAGCAGCATCCTGCGTCAGGTATCGCAGCCCCAAGCCTCCCCCACCTACGTCAGCCCCCGCGCCGACCACTACCCCCCCTCGCAGCTGGACTTCCTCTCCGGCATCGCCACCACCCCCACCCACAATAACAACAACAATAACGGCATCAACGCCAACGCCGCTTCCGCGCTAGGCGGAATGAACGCGGCAGGTGAGGGATCGCCTTCGGGATTGCACTTTCCGAACATGGGTATGGATGGCATCTACGCGTACTGCTTCGACCGCGGCAACGGCCAGTACACTCGTCTCGTTCCCGTGGACATGCTACCCGCTCTGAAGGACATCCCCGCCTTGCAGCAGGGCTGCGCGGGCATGATGGTGCTGCCGCTTCCCCGCGGAGTGCCGCAGGGCGGTCGTTCGAGCAACACCGAGTTGATCGCGCTTAAGGTACGTTTACTACTTTTCCTAGGTACTTTTCTACTTTGCTTTTTCTTTTCTTTTTGACATGACGGGCACATGATGGGGATATGATCTACGAGTACTACGATGAGTCATGTCACACATGGATATGATGGCGATGTCGTGCCGTACGGTTGGCTTACGAGCATCCGCAGAGCCCGCCAAACACCCCGAACACGTCCAAGGACACTATTCAGGTAAGTACCGAATACTTTTCAAGTACCTCCCGAAGTACCTTCCGGGGTACCTTCCCCGGGAAAACGCTAGTGTACCTTCTTTCTGATGTCAAAATTCCCTCGTGGTTTCCCGTTTGACGTCGGCAATTTCGGGGCAGTCGCGATACTGGGAAGGTACAAACGCGGTTTCCACATCGGGCTTTGGTCATCTGATTTGTCGGGCTTTCCTTTGTTCTCGTTCCCACTTTCCATTTTTGCTGTCCCGCACCATTTTGATTTTGCCGACGCTAGCCCTAATACCAGACGTCATATGTTACACGCTAAACACGTGTATATCTCGTATCACATGCACTCATGAGCATGAGTTAGATCATGGCTATCAGCCCAAGCTAACATGAACTCTTCTCTTAGTCCCGTATCGACACTATCGTCGCATCGACACCCCCCACCCCGCCTCACCACCAGCACACCCTCTCGGGAGGCCTCGGCGGGGTATCCACGGCCCTCGTGACCACCAGCGGCGGTGCCGGCGGCTCAGGTACCCACGGGACCTCATACACGGTCTCGCACCCGTTCGACAGCAACAACAACAACGGCCACCACAATAACAACAACAGTAACAACGGCGGCCACGGACGCAATGGCCCAGGAGGTCAGGGAGCTCACTCGGGCCACGGCGCAGGCGGGCAGCAGCCGCAGCGCCGGCCGAAGGTGTACTGCGACAAGTGGGTGCACGAGGGCGTGTGCGCGTTCACGCAGCAGGGCTGCAAGTACAAGCACGAGATGCCGTTCGACAAGGTGACGCAGCACGCGCTCGGCCTGTTCCACGGCTTCCCCGCCTGGTGGAAGAAGCACCAGGCCGACCTGTCGCGCCAGCGCGAGGGCCCCGCCGTCGTCCCCAGCATGGGCGCCATCGGCCCCGGCGGCACGGGCCTAGGCATCACGGGCGGGATGAACGGTTCTGGAGACGGCGGTGCGCAGGATTTGGGCGCTTTGGGCTCTGGTCGCTACATGGGACGTGGTGGCGCTCCGGGAGCTGGTTCCGGTGCGGTTATGGGATTCATTGAGGGTAAGGGCGATGGTGCTGGTATGTCTTCCAGCCCGACTACGCCTGGCTTGCCTTCTTGGCGACGTGGTGGCGAGCAGCATTCGGCTGAGCAGAAGACGTTGGGAACTGGTCGTGGTATGGCCCGAGGTGCGACCTCTGGTATGCGAAACCCCATGGGTAAGTTGCAACTCCGCTTATTATTCCTCTTGTCTCTCTTCAGGGAGAAGGCCAACGTTGGCGATAACATATAATTAACTTGTCTTCGCAGTGTCGTACGGTTCTCCCTTCGGACCCATCGCACCTCCTGCTCGCACCTTCGGCACAGGTCCTTCGGCTAACGCCAACCCCTACTCGTCTCTCGAGTCTCTTGAGGAGACCAAGGTCGCCGCTAACAGCGGTGAAGAGGAACCCGCAGCCGAGACTTCACGCTCTAGCGGAGCGCGTTTGAACTAAGGACTATACAACTAGAACATCGGTCTAGTCGAATACCCTTATACAAACTAAAGTATCTCCGGTTCGGAGGGAAATAGGAGGAGCATCCATCCACACAGCATACGTTAGCGCTGCGGCGCAATCTCGCACATCTCCTTCGGATGCCGTATCTTTATTTGCACTTACCAAAAGCACATTTGCATCATATTTTACCCATTGCTTCGAACATTTATCTGTGTGCGTTCACGGATTTGCATTTCCGCTTCTCGGATCGCAACGGAGAGCACAAACAAAAGAAGGCAAAATCGGCATTTCCTATGTTCATCGCACGCACGCACGACACGATAACGAGCTAGACTGAAAAGTATCTACGCGGGCGGCCCCAGTCGTCGTCCCGCAGATGCGAGGTTCTCGCGAACCGATGATTCACGATTGCATCCAAACGTTCCATCTCTCTTCTGGCCTTCTTATCCTCGGAGTTTAGGGGGGGAGGGGGACCAAGGGAAAAGTTATTCGTTCGAGTCGATTCGAGACGGAGGAGGGAAAGGAAGGAGGAGGAGTAGAAAAAATCGGGTGAAATGGACAAAAAATGGGGAGGGACACTTGCAGGTGTATAAATAGCTTACACAGACTGGCACAGACGCATACATACTAGGGCATTCGCATCCATTTAGTAATGGACTAAATATTACATTGACTTTCGGTTATTAAATGACGGTCGCGAGGAATCGGTTGCGTAGAGTTCGTAGAGTTGCGTAGATATGCGCTTCGCTCGTAGTCGTAGTAGTCAATTGAGATGAAGATGTCTGCATTAGAACTGGGAACATGTGGGAGATCCGTTCTGCAGATTCTATTCCGTTTACCTCGTGTGGGCGGCAATTTAGAATCCGATCTTGACCGATCTACGGACATCGTATTTCTATGATGATCTTGTGATTTTCAATGTTCGAGATGACGACACACATATTGAGCAGTCCAATCAGTACTCGTATATTCTCAAACCGCGCATGGCTAATACAAATACGGGGCTTGGCTATCCCAAGTCCATATCTACCAATAACAAGCGTCACACGTTACCTTCAACTCCGAAGAGTGGGTTCCTGACTAAAATTGGACTAGGTAGTGATTACCAGTACTTCATACTTAAGTGGATTTACGAGACCAACTTTCAATTCGTCACTCCTATCTAGTACGGACAGCCAGCAAATGAATAAGCCCGTCTAGCTCACCGGTAGAGCGCCTCACTAGTAAGGCATATTCCAGTTGCAATGAGGAGGCAACAGGTTCGACTCCTGTGATGGGCAAATTTTTTGGCTATTTGTTTAATTCTTTATCTTCCGTGCGCTTGATTTTCAGGTTTCTTATTATATATTTTTTTCATAATTATTTCAGTTTTGAGTTTTATTTCATAGCTACGGCCCGGGTCAACAATACTGCAATACGTACGTACTACATACATTAAATGTGCAAGAATAATCGTTAAAAGCATTACTGGTGCTATACCTATACATTAACTCTCGATAGCATCCCTATTGACTAGCAAAACGGGCAAGACTAGCAAAATACTTGAAAATACCTATGTAGGTTTTACATATAAAATAGAAGTAAGTATATTGGCATAAATGCATAGTTTTTCAAGTACAATAGCCCTTGTTTTAAGAATATATATAACAATAAGCTATATCTTAAAGGGTTTAGGGTATTCTTCGGCTCATTCGCTAGTCTTGCCCGTTTCGCTAATCAATGCGCAGCAACCCCCTTCCCCCCCTTGGGGGATGCTATCGAGAGTTAATGTAATATGTACAGCACCAGTAACTTCGTTTTCATTCGGCAATCCCATTGTGTACTCGAATCTGTGTGGCGCATCGACTCCAGACTTGATTCGCTCACAATGCCAAATGAGCCTTGTAGAGATGTGGCTTGGAATCACATCACAGCCGACGACCCCTCAAATAAAAATATGTGCCAGCTATCTTCATTCAATGTTGTCAACATGCAGTTCCAGTGCTGACCCTCAAAACACCGAGTTCTATCATGGACCCAACAGCAGTACTAGGTCTAGTCTGCAACGTGATAGATCTAGCTGAAAAAACATACAAATGCGCCAAGAAGGCGAAGGAGATCTACGACTCAGCCACGGGTTTGTCAAAGAAAAATGAACAGTTATCCCAGCTCACCAGCGAGCTGAATGTTATATTTGACCAGGTTCAAGGTTGTCATAGGGACCTACAGAACCCTACGATCGGCGACATCAACATCCAGGATGTGACCAGCGAGTGCAAGGACCTCTCATTGGACATCACTAATTTATTAAATCAATGTCAAGCAACAAAGCCTGCTTCGATCAGGCATGCAGTTGGCGCGGTTATAAAGGGCGTAAGAAAAAAAGATGACCTTCAAGCCATCCAAACCAACCTGGAAAAACGTCAACAAACACTTCACCTAGCTCTTACATCATCTGCAAGGTATGTTTGGTTTCAAGTTTGAGCAGTCAGAACACTTCTAGAAAAAGTTAATGAACCACCAAAGGCAGTTGTATGTGTATACTAACCCTAGAACCAACAGAACCCAACTCCTCAAGATCGAGAAAGCCCTCGAAGAAGAACACGTCCAAAACTATGAATTAAAGCAAGAACTCAGTGTCGTTCGGCGGAAATTAGACTCTTTGGAAAATGTACCCTATCAACTACAACAAGCTTTGGACCTCAGTCGTCGAGCGCAGAAGGAGCGTGAACTGCAGCATGTCCTTCGCATACTAGGCAATGGATACAATGACATATCGAATCCTAGATATGACGAAGTTCATGATGCTCACCAAAATACCTTTGAGTGGATTTTCTGCGATCCAGAAAAGGTTTTCCGAGTCGAACCAGGCCTGAAAATGTCATTCGTCGACTGGATACGCGAGGGCAGAGATATATTTCACATCCTTGGGAAACCTGGCTCTGGTAAATCAACATTGATGAAATTCATCTGGAATCATGAAGTAACGAAGGGAAAGTTGAAGGAATGGGCTGGCCAGTCCCGACTCCTACGCCTGAAATACTTCTTTTGGAAACATGGATTTAGTCAGAACGGGCTACATGATATGAGACGTTCTTTGCTCGTATCTACCTTGGAACAAGCCCCTGAGCTCTTGGAGTTGCTTCTACCTAGACTCAATGAACATAACACGATGCTCAATGAATACCTCAGCAACGATGAGATACGTCAAGCATGTGAAAGACTCACGAGTGAACCTCGCGTTCTAGAAAGATACAAGATATTCATGCTGATTGACGGCCTTGACGAGTTTGACGAGAAAAGAAATGCCGAAGACTATGATGATCTAGTGCAAGTCATCCAAGGTTGGACCTCCCAGCAAGAGGGGAAGATCAAAGCCTGTGTTTCCAGCAGAGAATACCCTGTTTTTAGGACCATTACCCACGACCTAAAATTTCATTTGCAGAATCTCACAAGGGAAGACATGCGGGCCTTCGTTACTAAGCGCCTAAGCGCGCACTCTCGATTTCCTGAACTTACAGATGCCTGTGAGCGAAATACCGAAGACCTCTGCAGCTGTGGGCTTCTGGTAAGGCTCCATAAACGCAATCTCGACTGTTTTGTCAAACGCGTCGTCGATGCAGCTCACGGCGTCTTCCTTTGGGTTCGGCTTGTGACGTCGGAGATACGAAATCATCTAGGGCAACCCCTAAATTGGTTATGGAAACTTGTGGATACCAAACCCGAAGAATTGTTGGATTTCGTGAGGCAAATGTTCGATTCAATACCCCCACCATACCAACGAGAATCATATATTATACTAGCTATTGTCCATCATTATGCAGCATTGGGTGATACTATTGCATATCTTCATTTATCTGTCAGGGGGGCATCCTATGTATGGAGCAAGTTAGTTCAAGACAGAGAGAAGTCTGGTTTTCAGCAATCTGATTCAGACAAGTACACCAACTGGGAAATCTTTCCAGACGAAGAGGTTGATGCTCGCTTCAACGGGTTACTTGAATGTCCCTCGAAAACAAATCAACCCCCCATGTTTTGGCCGTGTTTCGTTGTTACCCACCGTTCAATTCTCGAAGTCTTGGACAAAAATATCGACAAGAAACTTCGCGAACACGGCGTAACCAAAATGGATTTAGGCAGATGCATTTGTCAAGTTTCTCTAAGTGATCTAAGTTTCTTCCGAGAGAGAATCATAAAAGACGATGATTTCGTGAACGACATTCATGATGTACAATATTCGCTTATGGCTACTCTAAAATCGCTCGCGAGTATTAACGTACTTAGAGAGCATTGGTGTATAGAGCAACTAGACCAATTGGAAAATTTAGGTCAGGCGGCTCGATGCGAAGTCACAAACATTTCAGAATTCGACCGCACCGACATCTTGTTGTCGCCGTTTTTGTCTCTTCTTCCCTTGGTTATTAAACGTAAAATACGCGCATTGTTCCCTTGGGTCTTGAGAAGGCTGACTAGTGAACCTAAAGGAGGAGTATATCGAGAGTGGGAAATCGCTGGTGATTGCTATTTCAGCGGTGGATCGGTCGAAGAAAACGATTTCCTAGCAAAACTTCTAGAAAATGGATACGTCGGTAGCTATATACCTGGAAGTGGTGCCGGACACCAGATATCTAACCATAGGTGCCATACTACTATGTCGTGGCTTTACTTTCTTATGCGCTGTACAAATCCACATATTGAGTCTTGCACTTGGAAAATCTGCGAAATTTGGCTAGAATACAGGGCCAATCCTCGGGCCTATGAAATTCGACCGGATGGATATAATAGCATATTAATAAATGTTGATGGAGTCCGGTATTACCAATGGGGTAGAAACGTCGTACCTGACGCTAAGTACTACCTCAGCGGGAGGTTTGCTCAACCACCTGCACCCCAAGAAAGCGGAGAGACACTCAGAGCTCTCGTCGAACATTCAGACGTTCCCAACAAACAGCGACTACTCGAGCTCATAGACCGGAACATCGCTTGGATGGAAGCCGACGAGGAAGCAGAGACCGCAGCGATTTTCAAAGAAGTTCCATCAGAAGACGTACTTGAGGTTCCTGAATACGTACCTCCTCCATTCAAGACAACAAGAATTATCTGGAGGGCCTTTATCCTAAAACTTGGCTATGTGTTCTCGAAAATCAAACCTAGAGCTAAATATGCAAGGTTCCGTGCTCGCACGGCATATAAGAAGTACCTGGGCCCCAAGAACATACGGACAATCATATCGGCACTCTTGGTATTGGCTGTCTCCATTGCTTTAACATGGGGCGTTATGCTTCGGCACAAATGGAGAGGATGAGCGAGGTGTTCTCTAACAGCTCACACAGAACGCCCACCTATTTTGAGGTAAACCGTCGGATAAGAGTGTTTGGCTTAGGGGAGGAGCGCAGCATAGGGGAAAGGGGGGAAATGGATGAGTCAAAGGGCGACAGCGAGGAAAATGCTCTTTTCAATTCGGATGTTTTGGCAATTTTTCCTAATTATCTCAATTCTTCCAACTAATACAGACTACTGGCAGGCATTCAAACCTCGCACCATGCTACCTATCGTGAAAATCAAGTAAGAAAATAATTGGGCACTAAAAACTTGAAAAAAACTAGCTTTTCACCGGAAACGGCTTTGAGTAAGAGCGTGAGCCTGGACCCTCCTTCACACGGAGTCAAAAGAGTCAACCCATTCACTGAGATAGGGAAAACCATTAAACTCCCAACCAAGTCTTCCGCTCCAAGCCCGCCGCGCACGCATTCCACGAACCCGCGGACCTCCGAAGTAGAAAACCCCATCACCTAAACCTCGACATCGCTCAATCGCAACCTTAGAATATCGCGGAAACCCAGCTGCCTAAAACAAGCACATACCCAAAAATGATATGTAATAGATAAACCCTCAACAAACATCTCTCCTACAGTACCTGTAGGGCTGGCCTGCCTGCCTGCCTGCCTAAGAAACGCACATACATCACTAACGCACACACCCCCAACCCAATCACATGACGCAACCACTTATCCCTACTACCTCTCAAGCCTTCCCAGCTTCATTCACAAATCACAAAAAACACCGTATACACACAGGAATATTCTCTTATTCTCCTATTCTCACAACTACCTACCTACGCCCCTCACCCTCGCCCTCGCCCTCACCACCCTCACCTCCCCCACCGAGGTACTGAGGCGAAAGCAAGGCAATTCGACATTGGTATACAACGAGTAGGGATATCTTCCCCCCCCATCCAAACTGCCAAGTCGTCCCCCTTCTCCCCTCTATGCCCTCTCCTCGCCCGCGTTCCTTCCGGATA